GCCCCGAACGCGCGCCGGCGGGCTTCGGGCTCGCGTTCTCCTTGTTGGCCTCGCTACTGCTGTTGGTCCCGCTGCTGCTGGTGCTACTGCTACTGCTGCCGGTGCTGCTGCTGCTGCTGCTGCTGCTGCTACTACTGCTACTCGAACTGCTGCTGGTGCTGACAGCGTCGGCGACTGCCTCCGGGACGCCGCCGCCGCCGCCGCCAGGGTCCACGCCCGACGAGGGTTGGTCTGCGCCGCCGAGACAGAGGGAAGCAGCGATCAGTGTTCCGTCACCCACTCACACAGAGGTCTTTCTATGTCATGCACGCGACCGCGGCCCGACAGCGCCGCGCTGCGCCGCGCCGGCCGTGGCCCACTTCGAGGGGCTTCGGGTTTCCTGCCAGGCGCACTTCTAGTGCTCGAATCCCGTTCACACAAGAGATGCTGTGTTCTTTTCCTCACCTCATCCTGTTCCCGACTTCTAGCTTAGACTTCATATTTTTTTCTTTCAAGTCATGATTATGTTCGTAGCAAGTTGTTTATTTTGGATGGGCTTGCAACGTCATCCGACTTAGCAATTTCTTCCAGGAAACTATAATATTGATTCTTATGAAAGGTTGACGCAATCTGATGACTAAGGAAGGAAATTCTTCTAGTACGCGAATTCTGTCAATGTGACGATTTTTATAGAAGCAAATTCCAAATTTTCTTCGCAAGTTCGAGTATTCGAAGAACAATCATTATTTCGCAAGGAAAAGTGACTCAAACGTTCCTCTGCCCATTACACATCGGAAAAACCGCGTTGCGGTTCCTGTGGTTTGAATACATCTGCTTTAACTGTACGACTAGGTATGGAGTATACAAAAACGAAGGGTGTTAAGCGATTTTCTCTTATCGCGGCTGCTAGCCAGAAGTTGCCACTATAGAATTCAGTTGTTATCGCAGACGATATCATTCGACATTGAGAACAAGACTGCAGCAATCTCTTGCGCGTTCACAATCATCTTCCGAAGATTTTCAGAATGTTTGCGAATGTTCAGAGCCAAAATAAGTTTTGCCAAAGCATTGTTTTGAGACATCCAAGTTCATAATTTAGATGAGATGCATGACATCAAATCAGAATTTCCAATTAGTAGTTTTACATTTCCATCAAACTCAAATAATTAATTCTAAAACTTACAAGATACGCAACGCACTTCACAAGGAAACTAAGTAACATTACATATAAATATAATTTTGTAGCTTTTCTCTGAATACTCAAACACGTTTATTTCAAAACTATGTAGAGACAACGCAGATTATATTAAATAACAATACATTCGTAGTAAACCAATATGACTACAATAATCCCCCCTCTCCCTTCAACTTTATCGCGGCTCCCATTTGCGTACTGTTATCTCCTACCAAAACAATTCCATTGTCGCGAATTCCTCGCATCTGTACACAAACAGGCTACGCCAGATTCGTCCCCTTTCCATTATGAGAATGTCCCAACGCTTGAGAAAAGTAGGTGTCAACACGTGCGCAATGATGTTCCACTTTCGACATCCAGCGCAGCCGAATTTCTATGCCTCCGCGAGCGACAATCCTTCGATATCTAACAGACGAGGTCGCGAGACTAAGAAAAGAAACAATCGGCCATCTGAAGGCCTTCGCGTGCGCTGTTCCGCAGCCGAGTCTAAGACGATTAATTCAGCGATTAACTCCGCAAAGCATGGATAAGCAAACGCAACGCCGGACACGCGGTCCGCGCCGACGCGACGGACGTGTCGCAACAGCGCATTCTAGCGGCGGTTCCGCGAAGCGCCACGCGGGGTCGCGCCGACCCGGCAGCGAGGGGAGAGAAAGATGACTGATCGGGTCATGGAGGAGCGCAACGCTGCAGCCGCGTGGCTTTACTCACCGTCCGAACATGTGGCCAGGAACTTTCCGTTGCTGCTGAAATCCATATCTAGGATCTGTCCCGAGTGTCCTTTAAGAGACGTGAGCAGCCAGGGGTGTGTAAACTGCTTCGAGGCGTCACGGTTCCATTTCTCCGCGTGCTGCTGTTTCTTTTTCCCGCCTTTGTGGTCGCCTGAGGTGTGCTGCTTCTCGTGTTTCTCCTTCTTGGGGGGCGCGTTAGCTGGAGCGCCGGCTGCGAGCAAAAGAAAGGCGAGGGTAAGGCGGGGGTTGGAGAGCGCACGGCGGAGCGGGCGCATGGCGCGCCGGGGTCGAGCCCCAATCAATAGCCTCCGCGCCCGCCGCCCGGGATCGTTACCGCGAGCACGTGCATGGGCGACGCGCCGAGGCCGCCGACCGCGCGCAGAGGACACGTCAGAGCGACGCAGCGCGGCGGCCGGGCGCGGCCCAGACTCCGCCTATGCGGCGGCGGCCTCGCGTGGCGCCCGCGTTTAAAAGGCAATCCCCTCCCTCCCGCAGTTACACCTCGTCGCGGCAAGCCCAGGCGGGCCTCCGCCGACGGGCGCCTCAACCAACAAAAACTTCAAGGCCCTTACTTTTGGTCTCCTCCGGCGCGGCGGCTCGGAACAGGCTCGAAACGTATACGATGATGAGCACTGTGGCCCCCACGATGAGCGTGACAGCCAGGGCCGGCACGTCCAGGAACGAGGCGCCGGTATCCACCATGATGTCACAAAATCACGTCGTCCGCGTTACGCCAAAATACACGCTCAATCACACACTTAATCACACCACACACGCACTACGACCCGCGGGGCGAGGGGGTCACACGACCGGACACAAAACACTGCAACTACTGATCAGCGGCGGCACGCGGCGACTGCGGCTGGCCTGCTGTGCTGCGGCGGTGGCGGCGACTGCA